GCCAAAGCTTTGCTTTGCTACAAAGGCTTTGGAGAGAACAAGTCACCAGCTTCTGCGGGTGAAGATGGCAGAGCAGCGCTCGCTCGGCTCCACATACTTTTAACAAACATTTGGAAGCCTGTGTCGTGGTGATGTTAGAAATACGTCCATCGATACCAAACCCCCCTAACTCCCACCACGCCCGGCCGGGCACATCTCCTTCCTTATTTTCTATTTTTTTCTGAATCAAAGATAGTGAACTACCCTAGTCTTTTCTATCCAGAGTTTCCTCTTTTAGTGGAAGATGAAACAAAGGATGTGACTTCTGCATCCTGGCATTCAGGTCCCCACTGCACAGGACTACAGGTTGAGTTCTGGGAGCCTAGGACATCACAGCCTCTGCTTCATCACTTAAGACCATGAATTAGTCCCCACACTGATGAAGGAGAGACTCAGGAATTAGCGTTTCTTCCCAGTTCTAACTACCAACTTGAAAAGCCTGAAAATAAAAATTTCAGGACCAAAGAGATGGTCCTTTTCTAGAGGACCCAGGTTCCTTTCCTAGAACGCAAACAGAGGCTCACAAGTCTGTGACTCCAGTCCCAGGGGTATGGTGTCCTCTTCTGTTGTCTGTGAGTGCTATATGCACATGATTCCCAGACACACAACATAAGCCAAACACCCATATACATAAAGTAAAATAGTAAGTAATCTCCCAAAGGTCTGACGAGGAGAACCTAAGTTTTCTTCAGAACGATCTGGGAGTATTTTGTGCTGACTCATCTGTGAAGCTGGTCCTTGGGTGTGTGAGGGACAAAGCAGGGGTCAGGTAGCTTTCCTCTCACATTTCCAAGTTGTCACGCTTCCGCTGAAAGGGAAGCACTTTCTTTGTCTTAGGCCCTGGGTAGTCTTCTCTCTTGGTTACAGCATTTCTGTAAGTGCACGGTACTGATTACAGTTACAGTCGGTTACCATCTTTTCTGTTCTCCGTACGCTTGTCAACTATTCTAACAGCAGGAAATAAAGTGCAATCCACATCGCTGCCTCCCCATCACCACCCATTTAGAGAGCTGACAGCGTGGCGAGCGTATCAAGGCATGGGTACGTCCTGCCCACTCAGTGTGCTGTGCACCTGCAGGACAGCCACATACCACTCTCTCGGGACCTGCCTCTCCACTCAGTCAGGAAGGGCAAGCCATGGCTCCGCATCTACCACGGCGTGGCCACAATGCAGAACTCCATCATAAGAGTGCAGTCTTTACAGATGAGGACTAGGCAAAGTTTTACTTGCTTATCTGACTCCATCCAAATCATGGAACTGGACTCAACAGCTAAAAGCCCAGCACATTCAGCAGCATGAGTATGTGAATTAACGTGTGGGTAAAGCTGGGGCGAGAGAAAACAGCAGCACAACCGCTTCCTTTTTGTTTGCTTGTTTGTTGTTGTTGTTGTTGTTGTTTGTTTTTCGAGACAGGGTTTCTCTGTATAGTTTTGGTGCCTGTCCTGGATCTCTCTCTGTAGACCAGACTGGCCTCGAACTCACAGAGATCCGCCTGCCTCTGCCTCCCGAGTGCTGGGATTAAAGGCGTGCGCCACCACCACCCGGCTTAGGCTTTCTTAGCTAAGAGTTTTATCTAGGAACTCGTCACCCTAGCTAAGAGTTTTATCTAGGAACCCATCACCCTAGCTAAGAGTTTTATCTAGGAACCCGTCACCCCACCTACTGAAAAGAAACTCAGGCTCTGACGTTCCACAGCACTGCACAGGTGTGCTGCCTCTGCTCTGGGAACCTCAGCCTCGACAATTATCTCCCCTGCGTCTATTCTGAGTGTGGCTGCAGCTCATTTGTTCTTTGTGTTCGCATCTTGTGCTAAGGTTATATCAATCTTAAGGGCTGTGGCGAGGAGCAACCAGTGAGAATGGAACACGTTCTTTCCAACGCTGCACACAGGAGGTGGAGAGATACAAACAGCAGAAGAATCCTGGAGTTCAACTTCGCTGCAAGAAGCAGACATTATAAACTCGGGAGAGCCTGAGCCAGTCGGTCCTCCAGGGGGTGTGACTGGCTGGAAAAAGGTTAAAGTAGTGCACGGGCAAGCCAGACAGCCGGAGCTTGTCTCCGTGTGAGAGAAAAGCCCATGAGATGTCATCTCCTCTAACTGTCCTCAGACAGCTGGGAAAAACCTCAACATGTTTTATAAAACTCACTAAGCCAAGTAAACTTTCTTTACAGATTAAATACGGCTCATAGGAAGTTATCTATAAGTTATCTGTTATAAAATTGCACACGTAAAAAAAGTGGAGGTGTGACTTAAAATAGTAGTGTGGGATACAACAGGACCAATATAAATGTATAATAGGAAGAGGAAATTCATGATCCTAAGACCCACAACTCAAATTAGCGGAACTCTTAAATATCATTAAAAAATAAAATATAGCCGGGCGGCAGTGACACACAC